CAGGCCGCATGGTGAGGGCGGAGCCGGGCCACCACCCCAGGAGCGCGCCCTCCGAGCCCAGCCTCCTGCGGGGCTCTGCCCTGCAGGGCTGCACCCCAGAGTTGGGAGACTGGCCCTCTCTGCGTTGTCTTACCAAACCTCCCACGTCTCTGATCACGAGGACCGGTGTTTCCTCTGGCTTCCTCCCTCTGTGATCCTCTCCCTTCGTTCTCAGTGACATGACACAGTCAGGTAGCTCTTGTGATTGTGACCGTTTTACAGCTGAAGAGCCTGGGGGTCCAGGCCTGGCATGGGGGGAGGGGGTGGCCTGTCCTCAGCAGCCGGGCCCGTAGGGCCTGCGTGTGCGGGAACTCGCTAAAACCTGCAGTGACCACGGCGCTTACGGCTGGCGTCCAGGCTGGAGACCCACAGCCCACGAGCGTCCAGGCCAGGCGGCCCCAGGGGCTCCTGCCTCCACGTGCCGTGCTGCAGGCCACACGGAGCCTGGGGAGGAGCTCGGGAGGAGGGGCGTCCGGGAGACGGGAGCCCAGACCTGAGCGCCGGCTGCCCCAGGACAGCCGACTCCCCTCCCCCTGGCAGGTGTCTCTGAGAAGCAGCTCACCTTTACAGGGTTTTTAATTATTTTATTTTGCAGAAGAGATTTCTGGAAAACCTTCCAGGTTAAAGCTTAATTTAAATCTTGATTTGGAAAAAAAATAATTCTAGGTTTGATGCAATCCACACAGGCTCTGGCCTTGGGTGCAGTCGGGAAGGACCATGTTCCATCACCTTAGGGGCTCTGGGGGCCTCAGCTTCCCTGTCTGACCCCGGCCTCCCTCCACGGGCACCATCACGGCCCTCACGGGGCTGCGGGGCACTCAGGGAGGTGGCCATGCAGAGCAGTCGCCCCGAGCAGCTTGGCCACCGGCAGGCATCCCTTTCTGTTCAGTAAACGGTATTTGAAACGTCAGCCAGCCACATGGGCTGCTTACAGCTCAGTCACGCTGACCAGATGCACCTTCTCCGTCAGACACTCTCTGGGGACACCACATCCATCCCACTAGTGAGCCCGCGGGAGCCAGGGCTGTCTCATCCGTCAGCAGGTGGTCACGATGTCCAGCCGCCCGCAGAAGCCAGCGTGGTCCCTCGTGCGCCCACACAGGCGGTGCGGCCAGCATCCTGGCAGGAGTGAGCTGCAGGGACCCGGAGGGATCTGTGTCCCCAGCCTGGCCACTCGGCTCTGGGGCCCCTTCCTCCACCCTGTGTCCTGGGTGGCAGCAACAGTGCCCGTGGGCACTTCTGCACGCAGGAACCTCAGCCTTCCAGGATCTTGTTAAGAGTCTGAACAACCACACGAGCTGCGTCTTACAATGTCTGAGACCTTGGTGATGATGTCCCAGGGTCACCGGCCAGCAGGTGGCTGAGCCAACACAGGTCGCAGGTGTCCTCTCCTCTGCATCATCGCCAGGCTGGAGGTGGGGTTCGAGCCATGCTCCCAACCCCAACCCAGAGCTTCCCTGCCCCCCGGTCACTGTCTCAGTGACTCTGTAAGTCTCTCACGGGCCGCAGGCCAAAGAGACCCCCGGCAGTTCTGCTTATTAAGTAGTTGGGTGCGCACCACTTCATGAGTATGTTTATCCTGGCAACTTTAATAGCTGTTTGAAAAAAGAATGCACATTAATTGAAAGAAGAGAATATTTTTGTTTCCTTCTTAAATAACCAGTTCCCTGCGGGCAGGACGTGCGCACCCCTGGGCGCCGCCCAGCTTCGTTCTCCGACTTGGAGTCAGAGGGGACGCCGCCTCCTGAATTTCCTGCCCCACATTGGTTTCCACCCAGTTCTTGTTTCCTTATCCCCCATCCACCAAAACCCAGCTCTGCAGAGACAGGAGGCTCCTTCTGGGCTCTGCTCGAGCTGGAGGGACAGCAGGCAGGCCCCCACAGACGTGGGCCGGAGGGCCCAGCGTCCCTGACCCTGCAGCGCCTGGGCGCCCAGCCCACGGCCCCGGGGCGAACCCCTATGCCAAGCTCCTCCTTTCTCTCCCGAGCCGACCTCTGTCACCACGCACCTGCCAGGTGCCCTCCAGTCAGCTGTCCCCGAGCAGACCCCCAGCAGGCTGAGTGGGGTCCTCGGACGGCACCACAGAAGGAGGGCACCTTCGATCGGACGCTGCCACCGCTCACCCTCTTTTAAGTGAACTTACGAGTCTGGTTCTGCCGTCGAGAAGCTGGTGTTTTGAAATGGACACGTTAATAAGCCAGGAGTGGAAAAAGTCGCTACTGAATCCGGACGTCAAAACCCAATCCGCTGAGCGTTCTGAGGTCTCCTTAGCGGAGGACCGCGGTGCTGAGTATGCACCGGAAGAGGCCGCCTGTTGCCGGGGAGAGAAGAGTTAAACAAAGTGGGGGTGGGGCGGGGGCGGGACGCGCAGACAGCGGGAGTCTAGTTTAGACAAATATCCCTTCAAACTACACAAGGGGACGAGAAACAAACACGCCAGTGGGAGGGAGAACGAGGCCAGAAGCACCAAAAGCTGGGCAGGAGGCTGCCGTTGGAAGAGAAGGCTTTCCAGCCCAGACCCCTCGGGGACCGCGAACGCGGCCCGAATCAGCGCTGATTTCGGGGGGGAGGAGAGACGCGGGCCGTCTGCAGCCGCCAGCTTGGCCTTCAGTCTCCACCGTCTGCTGCGTTTCGGAAACCTGGCCAGGACTCCCTGGTGGATGGACAGATGGACAGGACTCCCCCGCTCACAGACACTCACGCAGCCCCCACCCTGTCCTGCACGACCACCCCAGACCCTTCCTCCTGGTTTTCGGTCTTGAAGGAGACCCAGGGGTGTGCTCGTCGGAGCGGAGCCCGCATTCCCCGGCTGCTGATCACGTCATCGGTTCTCACCCGCTAAGAGGCTCAGTGAGCCCACTTTCGTGTTTTATTGAGCACGTACCTGTGGTCACGAGCAGCAGCCTTGTTTACGGTGGAGCCTGGCCTTCGCGGGGCGGGCGCGGCTCCCATGTTGGGACGGTAAACGCGGCGGCAGAGGCACCGAGGGTCCAGACCGCAGCTTCGGGCAAATGCTCGGCCTCGGCTCGAGCACGGCGGCCCTGCTTGCCGCCGGCCTGTGCTGCTGCCCCCGCACCCGCCCCAGAGCGGGAGTCGGGAGCCGTGGTGGGCGGACGCCCCGGGAAGGGCTCGAGAGGGAGAGGGCCTCCCCGGAGATGGGAGCCTGACTGTGCGGTCCCCCGGTCCTCCCCCAGGGACGCTGCCCTCTGTGAGGCTGTCCCCACACCGACTTGCAGGGCAGTGCCCCCAGATCAACTTGGTTTCCTGTGCCGCGTGCAGGCAACACCCCAAAGGCCTTTTCCGTCCTGCAGGGAGAGTATTTCCCCAAGGCCGGTAAGAGGGCCTGTGTCTAGGGCACAGCTGCCTCTGAAGCCCCTCTCAGGAAATGCCCATGTGGCACCAGCTCCGTCCCTCGAAGCCGCCCCGCCCACACCAGGGGCTGCTGTTACAGGCCGCAGGCTGGCCTGGTCCCCCGCCCTGGGCCGCCCTGTGGTCCCGATGATGCCCCGCGGGTAAGGAGGCTTCGTCAGCCCTGGAGCGGGTGGGGGTCGTGCCGCCCGGGCAGATTGCCACTGGGCCCGCGCCGTGAATTCCCGCCTCCCCGCTGCCTCCAGAAACCCTGATTTATGAGGACCAGGATGCGGACAGACAGCTGGTGATTGGATGTACTGCTCTCTGGTAGAGAATTTACTTCAGATCAACACAGAATTATTTCTGAAGCTCCCCCGGTCGTTAGTCTCAGTTAGGCAGCCGTTTGGAGCAGATCGGACGCCAGCTGGAGGCAGCGCCGGAGCCAGGCCGCCTGCCCACCCGAAGGCCCGTGTTGACGGCCCCGCACTCCATCCATCTGTGTGCGCTGCCCAGGCCAGCTCGCGCTCTCATGCTGTTTGTCGAGAGCCTTTCCCGGGTCCACGGAGTCCTCAGTTGTCCGTCTGGCTTGGTTTCTACCCACAGCAACGGCAGAGAACCTAGTTATCAGCGTTGATGCGAGCTGATCCTAGCATTTCTCTCCTAAGGATGCTGGAATTGCTGTGTTTGGGCCCCAGGTTGCCATGCAGAACAAGATGCTGTGTTTAGTAAGTTTTGATGAAGACCAGCTTTTAAACAAATAAAATTGTCTGACAGACAAGGTCATGACAGTAGCAAGAGACGTAGCTGAGTGCGTAGGAGACAACACAGCAGCAGCACTTCTCGTCCCCCCGCCCCCATTCCGCGAGGACCCTGAGCATCACATTATTTGGAGATTTATCAGGCTGACCCGCCGGGGCCAGGCACGGTTTTCAGGTTCACCCACCGCATCAAGACTGCGGGGAGAAGGTGGCATGGAGGGGGGCTCTGGGAGGCGCAGAGCGCCCGGGCCGCTTCTGTCGACCTTGGTCTCCTGCTTTGCAAAACGCGGGCGATGATGGTCCAACTGGAAGGCTCTGTCGTGAGTTCGAATGAGCTAACGAGTGTGAAGTGCTCGGAGCTCCACTGGAGCGCCGTCAACGCTCTGTGTGTCTGAAGCTATTCATGCTCACTGCCTTGAAGGTGTGCCTCTTTTTAATTGTCCGATTAGGTCCAGAATTCTGAATTGGCAAAAGAAAGAACCGATTATGTTAGAGCATCGTGGTGTCGGTGCTGGCCCACTGAGAACGAGGGAGGCAGGCGTCAGGGTGGGTAACTGGGAGGAGGGAGGTTCTAGGTCTGCCCTTGGGTGATGGTGGATGCTTGGCCAGCGTGGAGCGGAAAGCGGGGCGAGGCTGGAGAGGCAGCTGGAGCCGCGGGCCAGGAGGGGCCCAGTGGTCCCCGCAGCTCAGGGCAGAGGCTTCTGGTAATCCCGGGGACTTGGGATGTGGCGCAGCACCGAGCGCTTCCTGCATCGCTGGGTGCCCCACCTGCACCCACCGTGGCAGCCCCTCGGTGCACAGGGGTCTCCAGGTGTGTGAGCGACAGCAGCCCGCAGCTTCTGGCATTAATTTTGTTTCCACAACACTGCAGTCCCGAGGCGCTCTCCTCTAAGTTCTCGTTTACCTGCAAGTGCAGGTTTCCCATCATGTGCATTGCTCTCATCGGAAGGAGCGGGAGCTTGAAGCCCCCTCCCAGCGCCCCCGCCTCCCGGGCTGGTTGTCGGGAAGAGGGGGAGCAGGTGCTTTCAGCACTTCCCTTTGGCCCCAGGAGCTCTCGCCATCACCTCCTCCCTCTTCAGGAGACGAGCGTCCTGTCGTCACATAAAGCCCCCTCCGAGGGGGCTGAGTCCGGAGCCAGCCCGGCCTTCTTCTCTGAGCCCCAGATCACAGTGGAACCCGGGGTCGGATAAATTGTGGTCATGAGGCCCCAGTGGACTGAACTGAGTACGGGGGAAATCAGACATCGCTTCAAAACAGGAGGCTCAGAGCGGGAGGCCGGGCTGGGAGCAGCACGCGTGTCCTCGGGGAGAGAAACTTTAAGGCAGGAAGTGTCAGTGTCCCCACGAATCAGCTGCGAGCCAGGAGCAAGCCGCTGACTTGAGGGACGGGCACTGAGAACATCAGCTTGTAAACGAGGAAGCACAGGTGACACGCCTCCAGAAAGTGGCGGGAAGGCCGAATGGAGCACAGCTGGCTGGCAGTCGTCGCTCAGCCGCCTTCAGTCCCCACCAGGGACCGAGGCCGCTGAGGTGTGCAGGCGGGGAAGGGGCGTGGGGCCCCGACGGAGGGGCCAGACAGGAGCCCGGCTCTGGGTTCGTCCCGGGGGGGCAAGGAGTCCTCAGCAGACGCCAGCGGACCCGCCGAGCTCCCCTCGATCCGAGGTGCCAGGAGGCGTCCAGCCTCAGGCCCCGATGACCCCTGTGCTGTCACTTCAGGCTACCAGCTCTCCTGGG